GGTCTAGGCCCGAAACGTCAGCCTTCCTGCTCCTATGATGCTGCTTGGCCTGCTGTGTTCATCCAGCTCTACACCTTGTTATCTCAGATTCTCCAGCATCTGCAGCTCCTACTATCTCAGTTTTTGTGTCAGCTGCCACCTTCCCTCAACTGTCTAGAAAACAGAAATGAGCTGCCACAAAGCTAGAGTGTAAGAGGGGAAAACTTAATTAATACACATTATTTAATTTTAGGTCATTTGGCAAAGACAAGAAATCTATTCAGGCTTCGATCAGAAGAAATAAAGAAACCAACACTGTATTAGCCAGGCTCAACAGTGAATTACAACAGCAGCTAAAGGTAGGGAGAGATTGGATATCTGGAATATCTAATCTTGTGGTGAAGTATCATTTGATATTTGCAACTTGATTGACTTTAAGTTTCAATGCTTGTGACACTTTGAACAGCAAATTTATCTTAGCCTGTCTTTCAGTCTTCTCTCAAGTCATCTTTGAAGAAGTGACACTGATTAGGATGTACTTCAAATGGAAAGTATGACACATTGATTGGATAGATTTTAAAGGAGTCAATAAATTAACATTATAATACTCAAATATTTATTTAAAAAGAAATAAATGTTGATTAGTGAATAATTGACTCCCAATTACAAGTTTTTCATTATTCCTTTCTACAAGAAACTTAGATTTAGGAGGAATCCTGATCCATTAATAGTTTATAAAAATTTAATGTGATTGTATTAAACTAGTGAAAAACACAATGGGCAAAAAAAAAAAGTGTTCAGGTCTGTAGGCCAATATCAGCTACATTGTGTATTGACCTTTTTCGATTTGATGTTTCTGTTCATGTTGCATGAATGTAGAATCACCTAGAGTGTACTAACAGTGTGAAGGCAAAATGCAAATGAATGGGATCTGGTGAGGTTAGTGAGAGAATTAGCCAGTGTTACTACTTGGGAGAATGGACACTTGATGCAAGAAGTGAGAGTAACTGGATATGCGTACTCGGTGCAGTGTGAAGAATTAACCAAAGCCTTTTGTATGTCTCTCCCCCTCTTTTTCCCTTACACTCACCATCCACCCCACCGCATCCCCCTCCATGTCTCTGTTTTGGTCCATCCCTTTCTCCCTAATTCGGTTTATCTGTCTCTGTTGCACCCACACACCCCACCCTACTGACCAATTTATCATAGGATGTGCTCGAGGAGAGAATTTCTCTCGAGGTCCAGCTGGAGCAGCTTCGGCCGTTTTCACACTTGTAACGGAGCAGCCGAGGTGCTTGGATGGGACTAAAAAAACCCGTGTTTGATCTGAACGTGTCATGGTACCCTCCTCCTGCAGATAGCTTACACCTGTGTTCAGCTTCGCCAGTCTACAATGAAGCAATAGTTTACATGGTTCCTTTCATCGAGCTGCACATTTGACATATGGCTCCAGTATGTTTAAGAGGCGGCGTCTTATGGTTGGGGGGGTGGGGGTGGGAAGGTGGGCGGGATGGGTGGTGATATAAGAGGGTGTTGTAAAACTGGTGGGCATTCAAGCCCTGGGTGAGGAGGATTTTTTTTTGTTGATTCTACAGAAGAGCAAATAATTTCACAACCCCTCCCAGATCAGTCCAACATGACAGAACTGGCTTACCGACAGGACAGAAATCCTAAGCGAGCTGATGGCTTGTTGAGTACTTGGGATTTGCATATGAAAGGTGGAGTTATCAGCAACATTGATGCACCTATGCTCAATTAATCAGTCTCCTTAACTGTATGGACATGTTAATATAGAATTGTGATTGTGCAAAGACTAGGGATGGAAGAGCTGTGCTTGAATGGAAAATTGTTTCCTGTGTCAGTGTCAAAATACTTTTCTCCTGAATCTGCGTAACTTTTTCATTTTGGATGAGGAGTTGAGTTTTATTCTGGTATATTGTGAGAGGAAATGGCTTATCTTGCCCTTAAAGATTTAAGGTCACGAAAAAAAATCCATTGATTTCCTACAGTAAATGATTTCCCTATACATTTAGAACAAGCTCGGAAATACATAATGAAATATTTTGCACTACTAAAGTATGTGTGTGTTCATGATTGGTAGGCATGGTTCAAAACCACTTTTTAATTGGAGGATGTGAAAGGTAATATATGCTTGAAGCCTGGGTGAAAGTTTAGGGACAGTCGCTTTTTTTAAATACATGTTTGACAGTCACTCACTAAGGACTGTGTTTATGATAAAGCGGTCTGTTGATTAGATATGTCGATATGGTCGTGGTGAGTTGGCCTTTTTAACTTGAGTGCACTGAACTCACTAATCAAGCTGCTGTGTATCCCAGTGGCTTAACTGTTTCATAGTGTATGTGAAGCCCGACTGCTGCACATGCACCCGTTATTAAGGGAGGTGGGTGTGCAGTGTTTTGTGTTTGGCTTTGCAATTTCCATCTATTTCTGCATAATTTATCCATCAAAAGAAGCAGGATCCTGAATGGCAAGTCTCACCTGTGAGGAGGAGAAAAATGTGTAAATACTGTGTCACTTCTCAGCATTTGTGAAAGGGAGATCAGCTAGTATTTGGCATAAACAAGTTTGGGGTGAGATGTCTGTGTGGCACCTTAAGTCACATTAAAAACCACCACTTGAGGGTGAATCCCTGTGCAGTTTTGCATGAAATGTGTGTTAAGCAGATGCATCTATACTCCCCTTGCCCTATTCTCACTCCAAAATGAATTAAAATATGTGGGGTTTGTGCATTAGCAGAGTATGTGGGGTAAATTGTAATGATTTAGGACAGAATCTCTTTGTGTGTGTGTGTGTGTGTGTGTGTGTGTATGTATGTTGATGACTTGCAGTTCTGTGGTTTCTCTCAATACCGCCTCTATCTGCATGTTACTGACCGATTTCCATTCCACCAACATAGCCTTCTGAGTACTGAATACATACTGTGCACCTCCCTGACACTGGTAAAGTGATCCTCTTCGAATTTAAATGGGAGTTTAATCAAAAATTGTACAGAACTAGAGAATATTTCTTTAAATTATTATGTGAAAAGCAAGATTTTATAATTGTTTGACTTCAGTGTTCAGTATTGTAAGGGTTAATGTGATTTGCAGTTTCTTTTGTCTGAATATATATATATACACACTCATCTCTATTTAAAAAAAGAAAAAAAAAACTTTCTTTGCATTTGGGATTGTTTTGTTTTTGTAATTTCAAACCTTATTGTTCTAGCTTTGTACTTCAAAAGAGAGAAGGGATGAACAGGGAGGGAAGGCTTCACATCCTGGCCTAATCACAGTCACCTTGTTATTCAGGTCAATGTACTGTATAAGGGGTATGATGTAAATTGTATAATACACTTTTGATCTTGTATGTAAATTTCCATTAAATTGCTGACTAACAGCAGCTTTATTTAATTGCTTTAATCTAGCTCTGGGATCTTGGATGTTAAAGTGCATGGATGTATCTTGGCAGAGCAAACTAGCAACTGTGATTTTTACACCAATAAAACAGTACAATATTTTACCTGACTGTCTACTCTGTTCTCCATTTCTATCTATCTAAGATATAGGATCTGGAGTAAATCATGAAAAACGTCAAATCTGCCATGTCGTTCACTACTTCACTACTTCCCACACTATCCATGATTTCCCTTAGTAATTGTAATTATTGCTAGCATCAACAGCCATCTGAGCTAGATTTTACAACCATTTGTAAAAACATCCTTCCTCACCTTGGTTCTGAACAGTTGACCCCCTTGTTCTGAGATGACGATGAGTCACTGGATTAGTAATCCAAAGGCCGAGGCTGATGCTCCAGGTGTGTGGGTTGAAATCCCACCACAACAGCTAGTGAACTCTGCACATTTAATTACGTGAATTCAATGAAAAGCCATCCTCAGTAATGGTGATGTGAAATGATCAATTGTTTTGGGGAAAAAAAAATTCTGGTTCGGTGTCCTTTTTAGAAAGGAAATCTACTATCCTTACCTGACCTGGCCTATATACGATATCCAGATCCATAGCAATTTGGATCATTTTTATTGCCCTCTGAAACGCCAGGTAATTACAGATGGGCAGCAAATGATGATCTTGCCAGTGACGTCCACACCCCAGGAAAGAATAAATTATTCCTCTGACTTCAAAATCTGAAACTATTCTAATATTCTTAGTATCTGCTGTTTTCCTGACTTCCTGTCTGCTGTTTCTCGCCAGACTACAGTTATAATCCATAAGCCTGATTGTGACACACTGAACCTATAAAAATTTGAGGTTTCCTGTAATCGATTATTCTTGACTATGAATGTTGTACATTTTGACCAATTAGACCTAAATGTACCTATAGGATCTGCAGTGATGTGTCATACATTCATTTGCTATCATAACTTAAGTTCCATTCTGCAAAATAAAACCACAAGACTATGTCACTAAAATGGAAGACATTTTGCAGATCATCAGGGACATGTATCAATGTTGCTTCCTTAGTACTGATTCAAAATCTCTGAACTCCTGACCTAACAGCACTGCAGGAGCACAACATTCAACTCTGTCCCCTGCAACTAACTGACTCCAGTACCCTGTTGATTTTGATCAGGGCAGAGAAACTTGAAGCTGCTTTCTCTAGCAGCTGCAATTGATAGGACAAAGAGGAGGAGTGGAGCCGGTGTATAGGAGCGTGGTTGGGAGAGAAGCGGAAAGATTTCATAAACACCTCACTAGGCCGCAAACTCTGAATTAAACCCTCCTGGCCCTAAGTTAGGAGATCTAGGTGTTTATCTGGGAAATAGTGTGACCAGCAAGAGTATGCTATTGCTGGGAATTGAGCTAAGTGTGGGAGTTTAGGCAAATGGGAGAGGGAGACATTACTGTTTTGTTTTGGCCATTTTTGTTTTTTGCAAGGGGCTGCTTTGTGATTGAGGTTAGATCAAAGAGTGGGCCTAGGTGAATACTACTCTGGACACCAGAGCTTAAATAAAAGGTGGGAAAACACCCAGCAAGTGAGTCTTCAGGATGGTGTTGCCTCCCTGGTGACAGTGTCCAGGACTGCTCGGAGCAGATGTGTTGCACCTCCACTGGAATGGGACAAAATTCCTGGAGGGAAGATTTGCTCAAGCTACTCAGGGGAGTTTAAACTGGTAGGGAGGTGGGACTTTAAGCAGTAGTCGGATGAGAGAAGGTTGAGGTTGCTATAGAAGCTAAAAAGCAAGTTTTAAGTAGACAAGGCTGGTAAATGCACGGCAGCGTGCAAGGGAAGACTGAATTAAAATGCATCTGTTTAAATGCAAGAGGCCTGAGAGATAAGGCAGATGAACTCAGGGTGCGGATGAGAACGTGGCACTGGGATATTGTAACTATTTCAGAAACATGGCTGAGGGAGGAACAAGACTGGCAGCTCAATGTTCTGGAGTATAGATGGTACAGGAAGGATAGAAGGGGAGGTAAGCGAGGAGGTCGGAAATGGTGCTTTTGATGAGGGAAAACATGGCAATACTTAAGATATTCCTGGAGGATCATTTAGTGAGGTTATATAGGTGGAACTGAGAAATAAGAAGGGGGTGATCACTTTTGGTGACACCCTTCCCAATAGCCAGCAGAAAATTGAGGAGCGAATATGTAGGGAGATTGCAGATAGTTGCAAGAATAATAGGGTCATAATAGGGGATTTTATCTTTCCAAACATGGACTGGGACTGCCATAATGTTAAGGACTTGGATGGAGAGGAATTTAAGTATATTCAAGAAAACTTTCTCTGTGTATTGGCCCTACTAAAAAAGGGGCAAAACATGGCCTCCTCTTGGGAAATAAGGCAGGGCAAACAACTGAGGTGTTAGTGGGGGAGAACTTTGACACCAGTGACCATAGTTTGATTGGTTTTGAAGTAGTTCCAGAAATGGATAGGCTTGGTCGACAAGTTAAAAGTTCTAAATTGGGGCAAGGCCAACTTTGATGGTATTAGACAGGAACTTTCAAAAGTTGATTGGGGAGGCTGTTCTCTGGCAAGCGGGAGACTTTCAAAATTGAGGTAATGAGACTTCAAAGACAGCATGTTCCTGTTAGTTGAAGGGCAAGGCTGGTAGGAGGAGGGAACACTGGATGATTAGAGATATTGAAATTCTGGTCAAGAAAAAGGAGGAGGCCTATGTCATTTGTAGACAGCTGGCAACGAGTGAATCCTTTCTGGAGTATAGCGGGTGTAGGAGTACACCTTTAAAAGGGAAGTCAGGAACGGAAAAGCGGGACATGAGATAGCCTTATCTGCCAAAGCTATAGAATACAAAGGGACTCTACAAGTATATTAAGGGTAAAAGAGTAACTAGGAAGAGAATAGGGCCCATTAAAGATCAACTACATTGTCTGTGTGGAGCCACAGGTGATGAGTGAGATACTAAACAAATACTGTCGATTTTTACTGTGGAGAAAGAAATGGAGGCTAGAGAACTCGGGGAAATAAATATTGATGCCTTGAAAACAATTCACATTTCAGAGGAAGAAGTGCCGTAGGTCTTAAAGACACGTGAATAAATCTCCAGGACCTGATCATATACATCCCAGGACATTGAGGGAAGTTAGGGAAGAAATTGGGGGCCTCTAACAGAGATATTTATATCATCTACAACCACTGGTTAGGTGCCAGAGGACTGGAGGTTGGCTAATGTGGTGCTATTATTTAAGAAAGGCTGTAAGGAGAAGCCAGGATACTATGGACCAGTAAGCCTGATGTCAGTGGGTCAGTTGTTGGAGGGGTTTTTGAGAGACAAGATCTACATGCATTTGGAAAGGCAAGGACAGATTAGGGATAGTCGCATAGCTTTGTGTGTGGGAAATAGTGTCTCTCAAATTTTGAGTTTTTTGAAGAGGTGTGACCAAGATGATAGATGAAGGCAGAGCAGTAGACATTGTACACGTGGACTTTAGCAAGGCCTTCAACAAGGTTCTGCATGGTAGACTGGTTTGTAAGGTTAGATCACATGGGATCCAGGAAGGGCTATTAATTGGATACAAAATTAGTTTGACAGTAGGAGACAAGGTGGTGAGAAAAGGGAAGTTGTTAAGATTGGAGGCCTGTGGCCAGCAGTGTGCTGTAGAAGTTGGGTCATTTTTACATTGCTGTTTGTGGGAGCTTGCTGTGTACAGAGTGCAATCTATATTTCCTACATTTTAACAAGTATAAAAAGTGCTTTGGGAGGTCATGCAGCCATGATAGGCACTATATAAATGAATCTGTTTATACAAGCATAGCCAATTTGCAAAATGGCTATCCGTTCTAGTTGAGCAGAATGGAGCAGAGCTAGTTATTGAACACATGAAATGGAAGCCAGAGTTCACTATATGGCCTGTCGAATCTGTTCCACCATTAAATAGGGTAGTGGCTGATCTTGCTTTCCAGTTTTGCTTTGCCTGGTTCCTCTATCTGTCGATTCCCTGAGAAACCAAATATGTGCATATTCCAGTCTTCCAAGTCATCAGTGATGGAGCATCCACAATTTTCCAGGGTAGAGGATTCCAAAGATTCTCGACCCTATCCGTCAAGAAATTTATCCTCATTCTTGTCAGTCTTAAATGAACTCCATGCTCCCCAGTCCCTTTATCCTTAGCCCCTGTGTTTTAGATTCCAGAACCAGAATCGATCTGGCTACCTTAGCGAGCCTCTTCAGAATCTTGCACAGCTCAAAGAGATTTCCTCCCATTCTTTTAAGCTCCAGAGGAAATCAAGCCAACATACTCAGCATAGAACAACCCTCCCATCCAAAAGACCAAATTTCAAGAACCTTCACTGTACTGCCTCCACTACAAGTATTATCTTCCTTAAATATGCAGACTAAAATTGCATACAGTATTACAGATATTTTTCACCAAAGCCCTTGACATGGTAATAAGTAAAAAAGTTTAATAAGCCGCCTGATGTTCTTAGTTGTTAAGCCAGTGGCCTGATTTTCCTTTGAGCACATTACTTCCTCTATAATAACAGTAAACATTAGGACTGGTATCTGAGCTGCTGTCTTTTGTACTACAATTTCTACTGTTTTACCATATACATATATGTGCACCAAAGCAGCCTGTAGACTTTGGAACAAAACCTGTGCAGTGGATTTTCCACTTGCTGGTAAATTAGTGTGCAAGATGCCCATTATTACTGTCCTTCGTCATAAGATATGGGAGTAGAATTAGGCCATTCAGCCCATCAAGTCAGCTCCACCATTCAATCATGGCTGATTAAGTTTCTCAACCCCATTCTCCTGCCTTCCCCCTGTAACCCTTGATCCTCTTACTTACCAAGAACCTATCCATCTCTGTCTTAAATACACCCAGTGACTTGGCCTCCACAGCCTTCTGAGGCAATGAGTTCCACAGACTAACCACCCCCTGGCTGAAAAAAAGTCCTTCCCATCTTCCTTCTAAAGGGCTGTCTTTTCACTTTGAGGCTGTACCCTCAGGTCCTAGTCTCTCTTACTGCTGGAAACATCTTCTCCACGTCCACTCTATCCAGGCCTCTCAGTATTCTGTACATTTCAATGAGATCCCCTGCTCATCCTAA